GGGGGAGGGACTGGTTTGTCTGCTGACTTGTTTTTCTGGGCTGAAATAGAAAATCTACTTGCCATATTGTGAAGGACCTGGCCTTGGGAATGGAGAGGGAATATGCGAACTGTTAAGAGGGGACTTTCAGAAACAGTTATGTAGTCCCAAGAAAGAGGAAAGTGCGAGAAAGTCAAAATAGCCCTGTTTGATCTAGGTTGGGGCAGAGAGAAACTCTGACAGATTTTTAAGATTGTTGTCAGCCCTTTGAGGGCGGCATGGCAGCAATTCCAGGAATGCTCTTTATTGTTGCTGGATAGAATAACAGAATCTTGAAAATCTGTCAGAGTTTCTCTCTGCCCCTTCTTATTCTGAACAAAATCAAGGTGTGGTTTTGAGTTTCTTTCTCACAATTTCCTTTTTCTCAGGATTGAGTAATCTTTTCTGAAAGCCCCCCTTTAATGGCTCCCTCATTCCTTCCCCAGTCCCAAGGCCAGGTCTACATTCCTTCACACATACAGATTCTTAAATAAGTTTGCTCTCAATCCTCATGCTTTTTTAAAAAAAATTGTTTTCAGGCAATAGAGTATTATAGAAGACTGCTAAACTGCTTGAGTAAAAGGAATTTTCCTCTACAATATATTCCTGGTCCTGCCTGTAAATTGCTGGTAATTTCAGTCTGAAAAATTTCTATATAGAATATTAACTTGAAACCATACATACTTGCTGCTTTGGTTATAAAATGTGGGTAGAAGCAGTCTAACTTTAGACACTAAATTTAGATTCAAGGGAAACTAACTGTTCCTTTGTTTTAACTCTTTCTATTCGGCTTCCTCTTGCAAACATTTTGTTCTCTTAAAACTGGATTAGACATACAGGAATTTGCATTCTAACACCACATCTATTCCATTCTGTGTGCCTGCTTCTAACAAACTTTCATTTATCCATGTGACAAGGATTAAATATACTTTTCAGAGTGGAAGAAGTGGTGGTCTTTAAGGTGCAACAAAATTCTGTCAGTTTTATTCCAACAGACAAATTTAATTTTCCATAATTTGAAATTGGATTTATTTCACAAAATTTACACTATAACACACTTGTTAATTTTTAAACCCCTCTTTTTAAATGCCTTTTAAAATCCCTGGATACAATGCTATCTTTTGCTGTTACTTTAAATTGTCATTGAAAGGGATTCTACCTCAGCTCTGTTCATATATTATTCAAGAGACGGATTGTGCTCTTGGTCTCATCCCTGGAACATTACCTAGTCCAGCCTCTAGACACTTGTAAATTAGCATAGTTGTTTGGGGAGAAAAAAGCCTCCTTGCACAACTGCTGAGCATATGGTATCAGGAAGTTCATATATATCTGGAACATCTGTTCATTCAAGTGGTCTTGCTTTCCACAAGAAGATCAGAAGGTAGCATGGGAAATTATTAATGCTAACTGAATGGAATGAAAATATAAGCAAGCTTTGGAGCTTTCTAAATTGTTTGCTACAATGGATGCTAAAGAAAATCAGGTGGTGAAAGAGAAATGTTAGCATAAATTATGCACTAACAACACTCTTATGAGAGTAAGGAGGTTAAACAGGTGAAATTGGATTTCCCTCATAAACTGCAAAATTGCAGCATCCAAGGTTATTGGATCAAATCATAGATACAGGCTGTTCAGTTCCCCATTCCTTGAAAATATTGTATTTGGTTCATTTTTTAAAAAAAGGGAATTAGAATCAATATTATTCAATATTAGAATAATGATTCTAATATTCACTGTATTTATATAAAATTTATGGAAATCTCATTAATAATGGGTAGTAATCAGTTTTAATGTCTGAAATTTGCAAACTGTTTAAAATAAAAATAGAGTAGTTAAGTAATCTGATATCCCAATTCTTTCATTTCAGGTGTTTGAAACATATTATCATTTAGGTGTAGCTTTGCAAAATTTAGGTAACCATCATGAAGCTTTGGAAGAGTTTACTCTTGCATTAGAAACTGCATATATTCCCAAGGTATGGAATTATAATTTATGCCATGTGCACAGTGCATTAAACTACAATTTTGTCAAATGGAAAAATAGTCATCTTGCATTCATGATCTGTCATGGTAATTGAATTTCTATATTTTGGGGAATCGTTGAATCAAAGGACCATGTGATTAGAAATGCTGCTTTTCATAAATTTGAATTTATTATTTTACATTGATCCTCAAATGTTTGGCATAAAGGGGTAATGTTAGTGCAACAGTTATTGTATCTATCATACAATACAATACAATATCTATCAAAGTGAATTTTTTTTAACTGATGCCTTCTAGATGTGGGCTAGATGTGGGCTGTGTAAGGGATTCTAGTTTGATATGTTTAGAGGGCTTCCTGTTGGAAAATGCTGATCTAAATATATATTTAGGGAATGATTACCTCTTAGAGACCTTTTAAATTAATGGCCTCTAGCATTATCAGTCAAAAACCATTGTGGAATTATTCCATTTTTATTTTGTTAGCCAGATTAAAATAGAAGCATTGAGAAACCACTAGTCAGTTATAAATATAGAACAATACCTATGCCCCTGTAAATTTTTCTGAATGAGGTATGGTGAATGCACAATTAAAATCCAGATGCAGTCTTACTTAACAGCCACACTAATACCTTTTTGCTCATACTGGTTAAGACAATATCCTACTATATATTTATAAGTACAGTATACATTAACATACATTTAAAAAACAGTGGGAAAGACTACTCTAATTAATGAAGTATCCTATTCCCATTAGTGGATATTCAGAAACCATCTATGGTATATTCTTCTGTGATGAGATGAACCTCTCATTCTTGCAGATTTCCCTATGAATCTTGAAGGAATTCAGCGCTTACACAGTGAAAAGCACTTTCCAGTTGAAATTTATTTATTTATTTATTTCGATGTATAGGTTGCCACATCTGAAGATTCAAAGGCAGTATGCTGAATAAAAACATCATCACAAACAATATAAAGCATAAACAATGTACATACTTGTACATAGAGAAATATAGCACATTGATGAAAAATATCCTTAAATGCCAGTTACTTATCCTCTATAGGTTGAGATCACAAATTGAAAAGCTAGGTATATAGAACTTTTGTACAGGATGGCAGGGACTGGCTAGGGTGAGGGCACAGAGAGCAACAGAGAAGGCACAGCTCTGGGATCCCATGAGATGTGCTGTTTAAAAATAAAGATGAGCGTACTTTATTTTTATTTAGATTATTTTTATGGCTGCCTAACTAATGAATTGTGACTCTGGGAAGCTAAGATAAGATTAAAACCAAAACCAAAGTCAACCAATACACACACACACACACACACACACACACCCCACCACCAAAAAAACATTGCACAGTTGAGGCCAAACTGCAGTCATATTCACATTCCAACCACTGCAGGAAGTCTCATGCAGTGTCCTGGCCCAATGCTCATGGAAAGAACTAGGTTGAGAAGACCTTATGGAAGGCCAACAGGGTTGGGGCCACCTGAATCTCAGGGGCTATGTTGTTCCAAAGGGCAAGCACTGCAACAGAGAAGGCATACCTCCTGGGTTCCACTAGATGGCACTGTTTAATAGAAGGGACCCAGAGCATGCCCACACTGTTGGATCTTGTGGGTTAGACAGAAACAATTGGCGATAGGCAGTCCTGCAAATAACCTGGCCCTGTGTCACAAAGGGTTTTATAAGTGGTAATCAGGACCTTGAATTGCACTAATAAGCCTACTGGAGTTCATGAAGTAGTAATGTTAATCGGCATACTGTTATGGTGCACACCTCACACTCACACCCTGCATTCTCAGTTGTAAGTTCTGGATGGTCCTCAAAGGCAGCCCCACATAGAGGCATTGCAGTAGTCCAGGCAGGAGGCGCTCAAGGCATGAGGGACTATGAGCAGGGCTTCTTAATCCAGGAATGGCTACAGCTGGCATACAAGATGGATTTGTGCAAAGGCCTTCCTTGCTGTCGCTGCTGCCTGTTTTTCAAACAAGAGCTGAAAATCCAACACAACCCCCCAGCTGTGCAGCAGTGCTGTCTGATGGAGTAGTACCTCATCCAGATCTGAAAGTGGAAAGTCCCTAGATCTGGGGTAGCCTAAAACCCACAGCTACTTAGTTTTGCTAAGACAAAATCTGTTCTTCACCATTCAGACCTTCACAACCTCCAGATACTGAGAAAGTATCAGCATCCCTTAATAGCATCTCATGGCTAGCCAAAGGTAGAGATCTGTAAATGAATATAATTGGCATATTATGATAGTGATAATTAGTCCCATGCAGATGGATGACTTCAGCCAGCAGCTTCATGTAGATGTTAAATAAAAGTGGAGAGAGATCATGCCCACCCTGCCTGACAATCAGAGATAATTGGAAAAAGGTGATCCTGTAAATCAGTTAGCCTTCAAAGTGCTTAATGATGGTTGGATCTTGTCAGTATGTTCCATTTTAGCAGTTGTATCATAGAGAGTTTCATCTATTTAATGTACATGTGATTTCTGTTTGACCTGAGGTTCTATGGATTGGATCCAATATTAAAAATTACTGATATTTCTAGCTTCATTTTATAAAAACCTGAAAATGACCCAAATTATAAATACAAAAATGGGAAACAATGTTTTGAAATCTAGTTAGGAATGAATATATATACACGCACACATACATATATCTCCATGTACCTCTCTGATTCCTGGCAACTGCCTGAACTAGTCCCTGCAATTTTCTTGGCAACATTTTCAGAAGTGTTTTGTCATTGCTTTCTTCCTAGGGCTAGAGATAGTGACTGACCCAAAGTCACCTAGCTGGCTTTGTGCCTAAGGCGGGACTAGAACTCAAGTCTCCCAGTTTTTAGTCTGGTACCTTTGACCACTGCACCAAACTAGCTATCATAAGTATATGGTTAATGCTTTTAAATAGTATTTGCAGATAACTTGTATTAAGGAAAATCAATGCATAAATTAATAAAATGCATTAGGAGACTAAAAAATATGTTCAGGTACTGTAGATCCTGAAGCTGTAAGTTATTCCTTCTTTATACAAAACTGAGATGTGAAAAATACATTTCTTTCCCTATGGGTATTTATTCCTGTGATATTTTATATAACACTTTCACATAATGCTTTTCGTTATAAAAAAGTAGACTAGATTGCCAGCCTCAGTTGCATCCATGCTACAAACAGCATATTGTTTTAATGGTAAGGACAGTACCACTGAATTTTGGCACATTTTGCCCAGTATACCACAAGTACAACCAAATACGGTGTAAGACAAGGATGTTTAATGTTCCCTTGGTTGATTAATGTATTCATAGATAAATGTATAAGGAATGCTTTGGTGAGAATGGAAGGATATGAACTGGGCATTTGGATGTGCATTTTCTTTTGTATGCAGACAATGCTGTGTTGCTGCCTTACAATTCAAATGATTTGCAGCAAATGTTAGATAGTATAATGCAGCATGGATCTGTATGGATCTGAAAATTAGTCTATCAAAAACCAAGGTATTTGAAAGGAAAAATGAATGATTGCAAGTTATACAAACATAGTAAAAGAAAAATCAGAGCAAATAGATGAATTTCTGTACCCGAATAGAATGTTTACTAAAAGTAGGGAAATGCATGGAGAAACTTGAAGGTGTACAAATGCTGATAGAAAAAAAGTAGTACTTTATAGTCTGTTGTAAGGAATGAATATTTTTCAAAAAAAGTGAAAGTGGCTGTGTATAGAAATGTGCTTCCATCCATTTTGCTATGTAGAAATGAGAGTTGGGTATGGTGGGAGAAACTTGAAATAAATTGAATAAAGTGAGAATGGCTTACTTAAGTTGTATGTGTTATTTAAAAAAAAGAGATAGAGTTAAGAATGGGTGAGTGGAGAGAATGAATAGTGTCAAACTGTAAAACAAGTACATGTAGAAAGAGTGACTTGGTTGAGTGGAAGGGGAAATCCTAGAAAATTGTGGTTGGATAGAGTTGATGAAATCCTCAAAAGGCAAGTGAGAAGAACTTGTTGTGTGGCAGTTATGCCCCTTTCTGGATCAGGAGGCCCTCCGCACGGTCACTCATGCCCTGGTCACTTCTGGGTTGGACTACTGTAATGTGCTCTACATGGGGCTACCCTTGAAGAGTATCCAGAAGCTGCAGCTGGTGCAGAATGCAGCGGTGCGGACAGTTCTCAATGCCCCTAGGAGGGCACATATAACACCGCTGTTGCGTGAGCTGCATTGGTTGCCAGTTTGTTTCTGGTGTTGGTCATCACCTTTAAAGTCCTTCATGGCACAGGACCAGGTTATCTGAGGAACCACCTCGCCCAGGTTATTTCAGCCCACCCCACTCGGTCCAGCAGAAGGGGCAGGTTGCAGACCCCACCGGTCAAGGAATTTCGATTGGTGGGGTCTAGGCAGAGAGCCTTTTCTGCTGTGGCTCCCACCCTATGGAACATCTTGCCTCCTGAGATCAGGTGTGCCCCCTCCCTCATGGCCTTCAGAAAAGGGGTTAAATCCTGGCTCTGCCAGAAGGCCTGGGGGCTGGATGGGGGCTCGCATATGTGGAGATGGCTGGTGGGGTGATGAGTTGGCCCCCCCCTCCAGCATCTTGAAGGTTTTAGGGC